TTTTTGCTTCACTCATGGTTCAGTGCCATGATGTCATAAAAGATATATTAGAAAAACTCGAATACATATATGTAGTAATGCAGCGTGTGGGAAGATGGATTCATGCATAATTAACAGATACCCAAAGCAATTATGAAAAAACATGAAAGGACGGATTAACCATTGTTACATCCCAAATTAGTGAGAATATTTGTAAATTGTAGAAGAAAAAGGTACAACTATCAAAATAAAACAAAACTTGAATCTTGGTTCATTAAAAAGTAACTTACCCTACAGTCTAATCATAGAACAACACATAAGTAAACAACTTCTTGTTTTCTAAAGAGGATGAATTTCATTGGCAGCATGTCTGAACTATCATAAGAAAATTAGTCTGAACTCCTAAAATTTGTTACTCAAGAAATCATCTGCAGGCCCCTGAAATTTTGCTATGCATTTTTTGGAAGAGAAGAGCACTATATCATATCCGCAGTACTGTGCAATAGTTTGTTTCTTGGGCCTAAACAAAAGCAAAACTTCCTCTAGACACTTGTCTGATGTAAGAGGGGAAGAAACTTTCATAATTTCAAAATGGAGGACAATTCACACTTGCCTTTTTTTGCAAACAAAGGGATTGTCTGTGTGGGCGGACTGGTGGAGACATCTTTGAAGAAAAACTCACCTCTATTTTTTTTACACAAAATGAAACTAACCGTGCACCTTAAATATGTGCAAGCTAGTTGTGTATTTCATCGATTGTTCAAGGAGAAGGCATCGAGGAAGGAACCTCCTTGATGATAATACAACCTAGTCAATCAGAAGATAATTCTTTTTTTATTTGGACAAGCCGCACTCACTCACAATTTCTCTGGTGAGTCACTGTCAACACGGAGTACGTGTATACAGTATTAACGAAAGAAAAACAATCTGGTCACTTCCCCACCGCCCCCTCGCATCTCCTTGCCGTTCCCCATTCTCCCATGGTCGCCCCTGCTCCTCCTCCCCTTAATGTCGAATCCGGTCGTGGAACTGGCCGTCGGAGGCGTGGGACTCGCACACCCCTGCTCTTCCCTGCTCCTTCATCGAATCCGGTCGCCGAAGTGACCGAGGCGGTGCTCGAGCTCGGCATGCTCGCCCGGACGCCGAGGCTCCTCCCTCCTCCTGATTTAGTAAACATCGCCGCCGCCGCCATGAGCCTCTCCACCCTCTCCCGCGCTCGTCCCAGTTCCAGGTTACTCTATCTCTCCGACCCCGCCGCCTGCTCCTCCCCGTCAATTCGGTTCATCAACAGGTGCATCACCTCACTCCGTGCAATGTTCGGACCCCTAGGGTTATCTGCTCGGGGGCCATGGCGTGTTCCACGCGGTGCTGCCTTCTCCGCCGCCGCCGATCGGCGGTGAGGGCGCTGGCTTGTGTCTCGTGGGTCGCTGCCTGACTTCCGGTCTGGGGAGACGGGCTTCATTGGCCAATAAATAGGGACGGGAAGGTCCGAGACTGGAGGTCCCTGGTCGCAAACTCGCAATCCCGGCAGCTATTCTACTACCAATCGAAAAAGAGTAAGCTTTCTTCCTAGTTTTGGGTTTCCTTTAATCCGCTTATTAGTTGGTGGCTGTGTTGACGATGCTATCCTTAATGGTTCAGTTTCATGAAGGAGAAGAAGAAGGCGCCGAAAGGGAATGGGAGCAACAAGTCTGAATGGACGGGTATGTTTTGATTGTGAGTTGCATTGCACTTTATTTTTATAGTTTGGGAAATCCTTGGGGTTGCCTATGGAACGTTTCCTTGATGTGATGGTTGGGCATATTTGTTTACTAAATCAAAGTTCCAGTTTACCTTCATCGACAACTCTAAATATTTCTTACACGTCTTACCACAAGCATATATACTTCAAAAACATTTATTCTAAACCGGTTCATGATAGATCAACAAAACCTCGTTGACGCTCTCACCTAATAGGATATCTACATGAAAGAAGAATATCGTATAACTGCATAGTTCCAACAAGAAGACATTCAAATGCACCATTTTACACTCTGGAATCAGGAAGTGCAACTTCTTTAGTGTTTAGAATGGATCAGGTTACATGTTTTGTTTTCAATGTTAAATAAATAGTAAGCTTGCAAGTGCAACACATGTATTATCATGTGAAAACAATTAGCATTCATCATACAAAGATAATATATCAATAAAATGATGAAAATACATTGATGTACCAACATAAGAGAGGCAATAGAGATGTTTAAAAATGTTGTAACACACCAAAAAAAATTACACGGACTAAAACCCTAGTGAACATATTGCCAAACCTTTGTATTCAAGTTTTTCCTATCAAATAGGTAATGCCGAGAACCAATTTTTTTGTAATTACACACATGGGAAATTCGCAAAGAAGCGCATCATTCATCATAATCAACTCCATATTATTAGGGAAAATCTAAAAGGCTTGAAACATAAACCAATGCATCTATCCACAAAATAAGCTCTGCTTCATGACACCGACCAATGAGTACAAAGAATTGTTATGATCACACTAATAGGGCATCTTGCAATATAACAGAAAATCATTCAAGTCTATCATGTATATTTAGGAAAAAAGCAAATATTGCAATAACTTTTTGTGATGAAGTAATACAAAAGAGGTTCTGGAACATACTCCTTGGCTTCTTCTAAGGCTCAGTAGAAGCATGCTTGCTTGCATTCATTGCAATCAACCTTCCACTCAAATCCTTTTAACCAGAAGGGAGCTTGCTGCCCCAAACGAGTAGTAACAAACACTTTTCTGTTGGGAAATGTTTCACGCTGAAATATAATCTCAAGGAATCACTTTCATAGCAGAATTTTGTGTTCTAGTTTGATGAGGGATGCATTAGTTAAAATTTCAAAACAAGCTATTTCAGTTACACCAGTGTTCCATATTTTACTGTACTACTATTTTCTGCTATGTACTTTATTATAACGGTTTCCTTCACATACTTCCAGTTTGCAACTTCGGTTATACTAATGTTACAAACACAAACAAATAAAAATACTTGGTTGTACTTGAATTTTGTGTTGTTGTCCCTCCTTTTTCATTTATCTAAACTGCAATGGACTCCATTATAAACACTGAAGCAGTGTACAAAGCTATCACTGAAGCACTATATAAAGCTATCACATTGCTATTCCATTTTTGCTGAAGTGTTTTTTCAACCACAACTTAGTTCTGTACTTCTTGTTAAAAATATCCACCCGGTGATTTTTTTTATATCTTCATAATAATACCTATCCTCTAATTGCTGGTGCGCTGTAGTGAGATTCAAATTTGGAGCAATACATCTTGCCCAGTTTCACCTGTGGAAACCCTCTTTTAAGGTCAAGATCCCTACAAAGATCAAAATGATAGAAGGTCCGGTGTGCTGGCGCTAATGCAGAGCGTGGCGCGGATGGGCTGGGTCCTCGGCCCATCATCCTCATTGTCTGCGCCTACATCACCTACTACATCGTTGTCCTCATCTCCGACTACTACCGCTCGCCGGAACCCATCCATGGCAAACGGAACTATACACCTGTACATGGACGCCGTCCGCTCCTGGCTCGGTAACAAATAATCCTGAAATTAACTTCTCCTGGCATGTATGGATGGACATTGGCAGCATGCATGCATGTCTGTTGTTAGGCAGAATAAATGGGTCTCACACTCTTGATCATGTCCATGCAGGGCCTACAGATGTAGCTGTGTGTGGCAATGCACAGTACACAGTTGTCTATGCATCACAGTTGGCACGGGCATCATGTAAGCACAGGCAGTTTTACTATTTAAGCCTCTTTTGCTTTTGAATATCTGTAAATATTTTGTTCATAAAAGTCATGGACTGAAAGAAGTTCCTTGCCTTGAGAGTGCAGGTCTGTGGTGCCCAGCAACTGCCGCCATTAAAAGGGCCACGACGCGAACTGCAGCAGGATGGGGCGATGTACCTGGTGATGTTCCGCCTTGCCGAGGTCGTCCTCTCATAGTTCCCGGGCCTGGAGATCGGCCACCTTTGTCTCCATCATCGCCGTTATCATGTCCTTCACCTACTCCTTCATCGCGTTCTTCCTGAGTGTGCGACCTGCGCGCAAGGATAGGCCAGTGGCGGTGTACAGCCACTTGCATCGGTCGGCGGCCAAACGAAGGAGCGGTGGGTGGTGACCTGTGCGTAAGGAGAGGCCGGCCAGCGGCGGCGGGGGCGGAGGCCAACGCAGATCAATGGCGACAAGGGAAAAAAGGCAAGGCAAGTGTCGGCGGTGGCGGAGGAGGAGGGTCAGGCGGCGACCTGTGGGGCGGCGACCCTCGAGGGAGTAGGAGCATCCGGCGGGCAGAGGCAGGCGGCATGCGTCGCGGGGTAGTTGTTTTGAGGCGATCTGATTGCGATCAGTTTCATGTTTTCATGGCTTGCGTGATCGTAGGGTTTGCAGAGGTGGGACGGCAGAGTTTTCGTCCGCCGAGGAAAATTGCTAAGCACAGTTTTGCCTGAGGGTTAGTCTAATCTTAATGGTTAGATCTAATTAAATAATCTGATCGTGAGGTTGTAATTGGTCCATGATGTTTTGTGTAGTTTAGGTTGGGTACATTTAGCAATGAATATGTTTGCTTGTTTAATAGTAGTATAGATAATTGTAGTTGGGGCCCTCCCAAGCCCCGGCCTATGGGCCGGCCCTGCGTGGACAGGCGGGCCACCTTCCCGGAGCCACGATCCGAGACGGACGCCGCCTTCTCGCGAGACCCCCCGGCCTGCCGTCGTGCCTGTCCTCTCTTAAAACCCAACGCTCAAACCCTCTTCCAAAACATCGCTCCCACCGACGACGCCACCGCCCAAACCCCAGCCCTCCTTTTTGCCCTGAAATAGATCAAGCGTGAAAAACGTGGCCTGCTGTGCTGCAGGTTTGATTTCCCTGGAGGCGTATCCGTCCATCCATCGGCGCGTAATCTCGGATCAGCTTCTTCTCCTTCGCGCTTCATCCGCCCCTTCGTCGCTTGCTAGCTGATCCATCGGAGGGGACTCATGGACTGGAACTACGGCCCCGAGGAGCAGGTCCTGTGGCCGGCGTCGGTCCTCGCCGGCGTCCTCATGTGCGCCGCCGTAAGCTCTCCGCGCCCTCTCCTTTTTTGCTTTCTTAGTTCATCCGCTCTCCGTAGTTCAATCCTTGTGTTCATGGTTGCTCGAGCTCGGTTATTTGCGAGATTATTATTACCTACCTATATGCCGGTTGCTTTCCTGTTATCTGGGGGCCGTCCAGATCAAGTACCTCCGTCTTGTTAGGGGAAGAAGAGGCCGTTGGCGTCTTTGTTGCTGGCACAGTTAATGCAGGTTGCATCAGCGGCCCTGCAGTTTTGTCTGTAGCTATGCTTGCTGGTGAAGTTTGCCGCGTCAGTTGTAGCACTTGGCACAACTTACTAGTCAATGGTGCAGATACTTGTCAATCGTCGATGTCTCTTTTGGCAATCGAGACTGGCAGTGATGATACTGATACGTACCAACAGTTCAACTGTGCTAGTTGGGCAGACTGTGTTGAATACTTCCTTCTAGAACCGAGAGATATTTTGGATTTTAAAAAAAAAGACTGGGAAGTTCTAGCTCTTTTTTTTTGCGTGGTTGCTATCTCGCATTGAATTTCTCTAGTTGGTCCAATGCAAATTACCAGTCAAGGGGAAGGTGCATCGGCATCAGATCAGCAGCAAGTGCGTGCGTAGACCGTGCTGTTTCGTGTTGCAGTGTTCTGGTCTGCTCTGCTCTGGCTCTTTGGTAACCAGGCCAGTATGTGATCAGTGCTACTACCCATTTGCAAAATTGCCCACAATTTGATGTTCTTGCCAGCCGATGGATTTCTTAAATTTTGGGTTTGTTGGAGAGATTGACAGTCTTGCACGTGTTCCAAAAAAAATACATTGAAGATAATCTGGGTCTCATTCTGTACAGGGGAAGATAATAAGTTTGGCATTGTACAGCATTTTGCAATAACAAAAACAAAAAAAGGAGTGCTAGAATTTGCTATATTAGACTCTCTCTCTCTCTCTCTCTCTCTCTCTCTCTCTTCCTGTCTTTTTATGCAGGACACCTTCTTTTTCATGAACATTTGTACTTCCGTAGGTTATTGTGTGTACACGGAGTTGTTTCAGAAGTATTTGAATTTTTAAATATTTTTACTATCACGGTGGAGCTCGAAAGCCGAAATCCATCTCTCTTATTAGTACCTACTAGGCTACGTATCACAAAGTTTTGGCTTTTATTCCTGATGAAGCATACTGATTCTGAATTGAAAACTTTACTCCTCTAATTCTGAACTTGTCGTCTTACAACCTCTTATTTTTTGAAAGGATCTTACAAAAAACATTGTTCTCAGCTATTTAGTACATTGCATCTTGCTGCAAGAATTCATAATTTTGTCCTTGCAGGTATATAAGGTAACTAAAAAGGTTAGCTCATCGTGCTTCAAGTGTTATGATGGATTAAGTCCAATGCAAAAGCTTGAGTGGAATAATAGGTAATATTTACTTGGACACAACTTTATTGTTGTACTTGTACCTGTTCTTTATCACAGTTGACCTTTATTTTACTCAAGTCTAAATATGTGCAACTAACTGACAGGGGCTTCTCTACGGTCCATGCATTGGTTGCTGCTGCCGTTTCCTTTTACTTGGTCATGATATCTGGCCTCTTCAGTGAAGATGTCAATGGCATAATCATTGACAGAAAGTCATGGTTATCCGATTCCATGTTTGGGGTAAGCTACGCATTGCAACTGCATCTCCAGCTTTGCTTGGAGAGAGTCAAATTTGTTTCTCAGTCTGCAGTCTTTCAGAACAAATGGACATGAAATGCTCCTCTGCGTACATATTGATTTAACATACTGTATTACTTGTGCAGGTCTCGATCGGGTACTTTTTCACAGACTTGGCGATGATCCTATGGCATTTTCCATCTTTAGGTGGAAAAGAATTTGTAAGTTTTACACTATACTAGAGCACACATTATCTCTGAAGAAGATTAATGCGTGTTGGTTTCCTCCTAATCAGGAGTTTTTTTTTTTGACAAAGTTCCTAATCAGGAGTTGTTTCTATGTGATTTTGTTTCAGCTCTTGCATCACGGACTTTCCATGTACGCAATCTGTCTTGCTTTGTTCAGTGGGAAAGCACACATGTACATACTCATGGTCCTCTTCACTGAAGCCACCACTCCATTTGTGAACCTTAGATGGTAACATCTGATGCCACTAATACAGTCCTTCAAGAATTCAGGTTAAGATGTGTTGTTTCTGAAAGTTATTATGATTTGGTGCAGGTATCTGGATGTTGCTGGTCAGAAGGATCACAACCTTTACTTATACAATGGATTGGCTATGTTTGTCGGATGGCTGGTATGGTACTCGCTGCTCTCATGATTTAACATTATTGCTTTTCCTAAAGTCGTATGATTCATAAAACTTGCATGTTAGAATTCTCAAAAATCTAGTCAGTTTCGGTGTCGGCAGCCTTTACTGTCTCTGCCGTGCCACCGTACGCCCCTATCAACTTCGGCTCTGCCCTTTCTGTCTTTGTACAAGACTCAGATGCTCAGAGATATGTTCCTATTGAATGTCTCTGCCTTTTACCTTTTTGTTGGAAAATATATGCTTGATACGCTCCTCTTCATCGCAAGTCAGATGAAAATGCCAATTGTGAGCTGCAGGAGCGGCGCCCAGGCTAATGAGTTAACTTGAAGCATTTGTGACTAGATATGCCGCAAACTATTTATTCATTATCCTCTTTACTCTGGCATTAACACATCTTTTGTTGGCTTGCAGATTGCTCGGATAATCTTGTTCGTATATTTCTTCACTCATGTCTACTCCCATTATGATCAGGTATGCATGTCATCTACCCATGGACCAACTGAAATCGC